ATTAATTTATGTTTTTATTTTGTGATTAAATGAAAAAAGAACGTGGTACTTATACATATAAGATATTTCTAAACATTTTTTTTTGTACCTCGCAACTGGCTGAGATTTAGATTTAACGCACAACATAATGATTATAAACTTCAAAAGAGTCACTCTTAATAAAAAAAAGAATGTGTAGACTAATAGAAAAACAAAAAAAGGTACAAAAAGTGTCCCAACAGAAAAATCAGTACCAATTGCTGATTGTTTCACTTTGTCTGTATTATGTGTCTAACACAATGTTTTTAACTTGCTGCATCAAAACATGTTCAGAAAGTAAACTATCGCTGAACTAAACATAGCATGGACATCTACATTGTTTTACTTACAAGCTTATTGGAGCCTCTGTTAGAATATTTGCTCGAAGAACTAACTGATATATATATATGGTTTTTGACATAAGTTCAAAATAAAAATATGTCTACTAAAATGATTTTGTTGTTTGTTATTAAAAGCGATGCTCTGTAACAAGAAGTGTTTTTAGAATCGGAACCAGGTTGGATCATGACGCTCTCTCTTCTAAACAATTTTGAGCAGTGCTAAAAACCAACAAATTCGGATCAAAAACCATCCACTCTCTAAAACCAATGGTCCAGTTTGATATTAAAACCTGATTTTTTCAAATTCAAGTTAAAAAGTGCAAATTTTTAAAAACTTTCAAAAAACCTGTATTGTTTTTAATATCTAAATAAATTACATTTCATTACATTTTATATTATTTTTGCAGTTTTCATTTTATTTCCTTATCATTTTAGCTTCAAATAATGATAAAAAGTCTTACAAAAATAATTTTATAGTTATACATATATATAGATACTTAACTTAAAATTAAATTAAATTTACAGCCCAGTTGGACCGGTGTCAACATTGACCTAACTGCAATGTCAAGTTAATGTTCGGTTCGGTATTCAAAACATTGATGGCAAAGATAAATCAATATCAGTTTATAAATAAATAGAATAAATAAACATTATTCATAAAATAAAATATATACAATTTTAAATTTATATAATATCATTTTAAATTTAAATTAAATTCAGTTCAATTTATTTAATATACTTAATTTTTAGATATTGATCGTGATTATTTTCTACCAACATTTTGAAGATAGAAAATATAAAATTACAGATTAAAATTTTACACTAATTATTATTAAGTTATTACTACCAAAAATAAAATGAGGGTTCTGTTAAAAAAATTAGAAAATCAATATTTTGTAAAACAAATTGTCCATTATTAGTATTACTTATAAAACTCTTAGTTGCATTAACTACAAGGATTTTGTCAATCCTTATCATTTTCTATTAAATTTAACATTCTATTTCATCTGTTTTTAGTTACAAATGTAATTATACAATATATTATATATATAAACAATATGATTAAAAAAAATTTTAAAGAGACTAGCCGCACGTAGCACGGCCAAAAGATCTAGCAAAGTTTTTTCGTAGTTATGAAAAGATATTATGTATAAAGCACCTGCTAACAAATATTTGCACCTCGGGTTTCCAAAATTTTAAATCAACACTTTCTCTAAAAATACTTAATCACACAACAAATGATTTTTCACCTTAAAAAACCCGAGTGTAGCCCGGGAAAAGTGATATTTTAGCATATTAGTTTGACCCACATAAATTTTTCATTTTAAAACAAATTATGAGTAAAATAAATATATACATTTAGTTACACATCAAGAGAACAATAGATTTTAATTTATAAATAATATTAGGTTTTTCTTAATTTTGATATGCATATATATATATATATATATATATATATTGTATAATACATATAACCAAACATTTATATAAACATAAATCAATATAAAAGCCTAAAAAAACTGTCCATAATAAAATATAATATAATTAATATATTTTACTTGAAATAGAACATACTATAAAATAATAAAACAAGACATAAGAAAAAATTAAACAGTGCTAGAACCAAAAGTATTTATTTAATTTACATTAACCAGTTATGTAATGTTAGAACCATTAATTGAACATTTAGTGATTAAACTAAGGAACATAAAAATAGCTCTTAGAGAATATTATATTTTAATTATTCTATTTTGTTTTTGGCATAGAAACAAAAGTATTTGACATATTTTGAGGATTCTTTTAAATTACATCACTTTTAGATTTCAATTCTTCTCCATTTCATCACTGCCTTAACACTTAACAACGAATTCATAAAGATTTTGTTATCACCAAATAATAAATAATAAATATTAAAATTTAAAAATATATATTGGTTGATTTTAACGTTAAAAAATATTTGAATTATATGTTAATTTAACCACATTTTCATAAAATTTAAATAAACAAGTTAAAAGAATAATTGAATTTGAAATAAAAAATTTTATTCATATTGGTTACCAACTTATATGTATTTTGATATTGAAAGAAAAAAATGAATTTTTAATAATTTTATAAGTTTAGTCACCAATAATAATACAAAAGTTACAATTTTTTAATATGTAATCAAATATACTCTATAATAAACTAAACAAAATTAATATAGGAAAAAAACCCGGGCGTAGCCCGGGAAAAGTCTCTAGTNTATTCATATTGGTTACCAACTTATATGTATTTTGATATTGAAAGAAAAAAATGAATTTTTAATAATTTTATAAGTTTAGTCACCAATAATAATACAAAAGTTACAATTTTTTAATATGTAATCAAATATACTCTATAATAAACTAAACAAAATTAATATAGGAAAAAAACCCGGGCGTAGCCCGGGAAAAGTCTCTAGTTTTTATAAAAAGAAGAAGGAAATATGAGGACCAGAAAGGCAAAGAAAGCTTTCAGTAATGTGATTTGATAAAAGCCTTGTTTTTTCATTTTTAACACATACTAATTATGCATTAAAAATTATGAAAAATATTACATAGACGATATTACGGCCGATAATTCTATATGTCTTATACGAAGTCACGTCTGACTGCATTACCTTGAGCCGCCCTATGAAATCTATTTCTAATGGTATGTCTTACGCCATGCTGAAAATCTATTCTAAACCTATTCTCCAATAATCTGCATAATTTGCCATTCACTTTCTCCAGAATTAAAACTTTCATAATGTAAAAACTGTATAGCTTGGATTCGAACCCCAAATATGATATAAAAACTTTTAAACATTAACCACTAGATTACGGTGCTTCTATAGCCAAGTGTTTTCTATAGTAGCAAAAACAAGCTTCATATTCTCCATGTTGTATTTTTTCTTTAAACAACTAATACATACGGTGGTCACCAGTTTACCAAATACCATAACTTCACTCTCAAACAGTTTTCAAATTAATTGATTAGCAATAGAATGATGCTTCTTTTTTAAAGGCTAGGCTAGTATCCATATTCACTTATTAAATAATTACTATCGCTATCAGTATAAAAGGTGTGGTTGATTTTTATCTCAATTATGTACTTTCTTACTCTATGGTATATTTATATTAGTGGAGTGGTTGAGAAAAGAAAACTCTCGTACAAGCTTGTGAATCAAGCAAACCACTTTGCCACATACTCACAGTAATAATTTATGTCAATATACTCATTTAAAATGTTTAGGTCTTCGTTTCAGGTATTCATCACTTAGTGGAACATGAAAATTCATATTTCTTATATCAGAGAAATAATTTTTTAACGAATTAAGAATCTCATCCAAGTGACAAGAGTGTATATGTATATCTATAGACTATAGTTCTACTTCTACTATTGCTACTAAACATTTTCTTTTCAAATCTCATACACAAAATCAGCATATATAAAATATGCTTGGATGTATTTTGATTAAGTGTTTCGCAGAATGATAAGATTATTACAAAAAGTATAATGAATGTAGTTTTGGGTGGTTGCTATGTAACAGACAAGAACAGATAGTACTATATAACTTTTAAGATTGGACTGATCTAAATTATCTGCTAGCAAAATATAATTCCGCCTTGTATCGTATGTACGTTTTGAACTTAGGAATGGATCATTCATATGTATAAGCATGCATAATATACATCAGAAGGTGGGAGACAGTTGTGACATGTGATTTTATTGACATTATATACATACATTTTAGACCAATTAAAACTTGACTCCTACTAACCTCCACTTGTTACTTTAATTATTGTTTTGGTTATCTTTCAATTTGATTTTGTGTTTACAATCTATTTTCTTTCTTTCTAATACATAAGATTAAGTTGTGCGTTTTCTTCAGGATGAAAATATGTAAAATTGAAAGTATATAAGCTCTTCCAAAACATTGTCGTCTCAACGGTCTTATAAAACAGCTTGTTCAATGTCTATGTTGTGAAGAGTACAAAGGGTGTTATAACTCACTTATAACGCATTTATTTTTACACAATAAATGAAAAAGAAACCCAAAGCAACCAAATATTCTACACTCTTAACAAAATACTGTAGATGTTTTAGAGAATGGTAAGAACCAAAAGTACGAGGGATTCAGTCAAATTACAAAACTACAACTTTCATTCCTTTTTTTCCTTTAAAGGTAAAAATAAAATATTTACGAAAAGATGTCCTCCTGATGAGTCAACGCAATGTGGTCAACAAACATACACACTCTCCCACTGTCTTTCACCATCTACCTACAAACAAAATTAAATGCCCAATTTACCCTTTCTATATGTCCAAATACTGAACACATCCCACGTAGACAAGAAGACACAAATGGAAATCCCAGTCACCAATTTTAATTCGTCTTGAAATACTCGAGTGTCTTTGAAAGTTCATGTAGTCTTTAAGTAAATACAAAATGAGAGATTCTTTAAACCAAATTAATCTTTCTAAAAGCGTTATACAGTACTTTCTGGTGTCAACAAATCCTTTATATCTTCATGTATTTATTTTATATTTTATATCTTCATGTGATATATATATATATATATATTAGCTTAAATGGTAAAATATAATCATGTATGTCCGAAAAACATTCCTTTATACGTGTAGTTTTTAAATATTAGAAAAACGTTTATTTAACTTGGAGATAAATTGACTCTTGTCACAATCCAAATTAGATTTTACCTTTACCAAATTAGATTTTCACCTTTTAGTGGTTGAATACTCTGTAGAACAAGAAAAACATGTATAGATTACGAGAATCTAAAATGCATTAAATTAAGGTCCCAAATAGTTCCAATAAGAAAAAATAAAATAAAAGTAGGAGACAAGAAAGAAAATTAAAAAAAAAGGTGAAAACAAAAAAACCATGTCCGAAAACCACATAGAAGCGCGTGAATAAAACGTTCCAATGATGGGGAAGTGAGAGCCAATGTAACGTATGTGTGTGTTCTTCTCGTACGACGTGGGAACTCTGCTTTCACCTTGTTCCTCTCAATAAACGTCCGTTTTTTTTACAACTCATTCCTCCACGCGCTCCTCTCCTCTCCTTCTCCGCTGTCTCTTTCTTCTAAAATCTCTCAAGAGCGAAAAAAACAGAGCGATCAGTGAAAGAGTATACATACATTTAGAGAGAAACTAAAACTAAGAGCAAGTTTGATGACGTGGCATAGTAGTAGTCTCCGGTGAAGAAGAGATGTCACACGTTTTTCACGAGGCAACAAGTAATCAAAAACATTCTTCCTCGACGCAAATGTCGACGAACACTCCTCCTCCCACGGCGACGACTCAGCAACAACCACCACCTACTCCGGCGATAACGACGGAGGAGTTAACGGTGAAGGCACTGAACAAGAGATACGAAGGTTTAATGACCGTAAGAACAAAAGCAGTGAAAGGCAAAGGCGCGTGGTACTGGACACATCTCGAGCCAACTCTCGTCCGCAACACCGACACTGGTCTCCCTAAAGCCGTGAAACTCCGCTGCTCCCTATGCGACGCCGTTTTCTCCGCCTCCAACCCTTCTCGCACCGCCTCAGAGCATCTCAAACGCGGCACGTGTCCCAACTTCAACTCCTCCGCCGTCAACCCTTCTCCTCCTCCTTCCTCCTCCTCTTCCTCTCCCCTCGCTCACCGGAAACGTCTCTCCTCCGGCGCCGTCCCTTCCCGGCTCAACCCTCCTCCTCCTCCTTCTTACCACGTGACGCCGATAACGGTCGTCGATCCGGCGAGATTTTGCGGCGGGGAGTTGCATTACTCTGCTCCGCCGCCGCCACCGCCGCCGCATTTGATGCTTTCCGGCGGGAAAGACGATTTGGGTCCGTTGGCTATGCTTGAAGACAGTGTGAAGAAGCTAAAGAGTCCTAAGACATCGCACACGCAGTCTCTCACGAGATCGCAGGTTGAGTCAGCGTTTGACTCTCTCTCCGATTGGGTCTTCGAGTCTTGCGGTTCGGTTTCTCTGTCGGGTCTGGAGCATCCGAAGTTTCGATCTTTTTTAACCCAAGTCGGGTTACCGATCATCTCCAAGAGAGAGTTCGCAACGATAAGGCTTGAGTTAAAGTACGAGGAAGCGAGAGCTGTGTCGGAATCAAGAATCCGTGACGCGATGTTCTTCCAAATCGCGTCTGACGGGTGGAGAGAGAGTCTGGTGAGTTTGGTCGTGAATTTACCGAACGGGACGAGTGTTTACAGAAGAGCGGTTCTTGTGAACGGAGCTGTGCCGTCTAACTACGCGGAGGAGGTTTTGTTGGAGACTGTGAAGGGTATTTGTGGAAATTCACCTCAGAGGTGTGTTGGGATAGTCTCTGACAAGTTCAAGAGCAAAGCGGTCAAGAGTCTTGAGAGTCAGCATCAGTGGATGGTGAACTTGTCTTGTCAGTATCAAGAGCTCAGGAGTTTGATCAAAGACTTCGTGAAAGAGCTGCCTTTGTTCAAATCCGTCTCGCAAAACTGTGAGAGAGTTGCGAAGTTCATTAACAACACGGCGGAGATACGTAACGCACATTGTAAGTATCAGATGCAAGAACAAGGCGAACCTATAATGCTAAGGTTGCCTTTACATTGTAGTAGTAAGGGTTGTTACTTTGAGCCGTTGTTTAATCTTCTCGAGGATGTGTTGAGTTCCGCTAGAGCGATTCAGCTTGTAATGCATGATGATGCTTGTAAAGCTGTTTTGATGGAGGATCATACGGCTAGGGAGGTTAGAGAGATGGTTGGTGACCAAGGGTTTTGGAACGAGGTTGAGGCGGTTCACGGTTTGATCAAGCTTGTTAAAGAGATGGCTCGGAGGATAGAGGAAGAGAAGCTGCTCGTTGGGCAGTGTCTTCCTTTATGGGACGAGCTGAGAGCTAAGATTAAAGATTGGGATACTAAGTTCAACGTAGGGGAAGGACATGTGGAGAAACTTGTGGAGAGAAGATTCAAGAAGAGTTATCACCCGGCTTGGGCTGCAGCGTTTATACTAGACCCTCTTTACTTGATAAGTGATAGTAGTGGCAAGTATCTTCCACCGTTCAAATGTTTGTCACCAGAGCAAGAGAAAGATGTAGATAAGTTGATAACAAGGCTTGTGTCTAGAGACGAGGCACACATTGCGTTGATGGAGCTTATGAAATGGAGAACGGAAGGGCTTGATCCAATGTATGCAAGAGCGGTTCAGATGAAGGAGCGTGACCCGGTTACTGGTAAGATGAGGATAGCTAATCCTCAGAGCAGTAGACTTGTTTGGGAGACGTATCTTAGTCAGTTCAGGTCACTAGGGAAAGTTGCTGTAAGGCTCATTTTTCTCCATGCAACTACTTGTGGGTTCAAATGCAACTCTTCTCTTTTGAAATGGGTTGGCTCGCATGGGAGGTCACATGCAGCTATGGATAGAGCTCAGAAGATGATTTTTATATCGGCTAATTCGAAATTCGAAAGAAGAGATTTCTATAATGAGGAGGATAGGGATGCAGAGCTGCTTGCTATGGCTAATGGTGATGAAAATTTGCTAAATGATGTTCTTGGGGACACATCTTAGGTGTGACATTTTTTTTTCCAATTTGAAAATCTTGTTTTTGAGCAGTTTTGTTTAAGCTTAGTTATTCATTAGAGTTTGGCATTTTGTAGGATTGTTTGGATTATTTTCTTTCATTGCTATTACCCCTTAAAATCATTAATATTCAAGTTGTGATTGGTTCTTTCAGAAGGTGAGACTTATCATCCATATCTAATCTAAGTATTTGTATTTCATTAGCCTATATATACCATAGTTTTCCATCACTCAAGGCATATATTGGTTCTTGTACTCTTTAATGTTTGATGAAACATTCGTGAAACATTGTATCTTTCAGTTGTCACAAGACTCACAACTCATAACCATCGATGTATGATGGGTTAGAAGTTAGAAACCCTAGTTAATGACAGCTTTGGCGTCTTGTTATGTTGGTACAAAGTGTAATGATCCCTCTCGCTTTTTCATCGATATTCATATTCTTAATCATGACTTAAAACATATGTCTTTACTTTTTGAGAAAGATTACTTAACTTTTGAAAGTTTAATGTTCTCTCTTCATGGTAACGTTTGTTGATGGCAATGACAGAGACTAAGATGCATACTTTGCCGTCTACAGTAGCTGAAGGAAAAAAAATAACCTGATTAGCAGGTTCTTGATTTCATTTCAACTATTATGATTGCATCTTTATATCTAAGTAACTATTAATCTACTTGTTTCTAACATTCTGAAGAACAAAAAATGTGGATCCCCACTATGAAAGCAAGTTCAGTGGGAGGTTACTGCGTCGAAATCATTGTTGTGTTTGTTGAATACAATTTCAAAAAGAAGAGGTGAAATTGTGAAATGTTGGAGAGCGGTTCTTTAACCCTACCTGAAATAATAAATGTTTGTTGAGAAGATTATTGAACCCTATTTGCTGTTTATGGATGATGCTACTTATTACAGGTCTTATTTAGCAATTGTGTGATTTAAGTTACACATGATTTCTACAGCTTGAATAGTTTAAATTTAAAAGGTTGATATCTTTCCTCTTTATTTCTATGAGCCAATGGTTTGTACTTTGTGGGGTATTTTCTAAAGAAGAAAATCTGTAACCCATGATTTATATTCGTGTAAATCATAACTTTATCAATATACAGTACCATTATTTGAAATCTAGTGGCAAGATTTCATAAATGGACTGACCGGACAGCTAAAGTGAAATTACACAAATTAAGTAAAAACAGAGAAATCAATGGAAAAAACAAACAATTAGTTAGAAATAGTAAAAAAGAAATACAATTATTGGATGCTATTCTTCCATTTAAGCTATAGACAAATAGATAAGTCAAGTACTTATTTTGTATACACTCAACACACAGAAACACACATGCATACATACTGTATATACTACTATATTCTAAAGTACTATAATATTTGACAAAAGAAATTCATACTAATGCTTATCAACTAATAACTTTAAAGTTGAAACTATAGGCTAACTGATTGAAGGGAAAGCAGGTTTTAACTTAAATTATTTGACATGGAATCATTTTATTGGGGTAGTAATTTACTAGCCTAACAAGGGGGAAACACAAAAAGTAGAAATTTATAATTATACTTATACCCCACAAATAGCAAAGTATAGTACTTTTGTTTTTATTTTTAAGTACACTTTATTGTTTTTCTACTGTATGACTTTGAACTTTCTAGCAGACATTAGATTCACAGCAACCACCTCCTCGAACAATTAACAAGAAGATCAAAGCTTAAATTTTAGACAATTAACAAAAACAGAACTTATAATACAAAAATTGGCTGTCCCTTTTCTGCTTGTACATTTGAAAAAATAATCGGAAGTTATATGCACTAGCTCGCAGCTCAGTTTTAGTATTCGCGAACATAATTTCTTTTAGAAATAAGAGAATATAATCTTTTGTCTATAAACAAAAATATATGTACATATATGATATATATATATATATATCTATATATATATGTGAGTGTATACTACACATGGTGAAAGTGATTGTAATTATGTCGTGAAAGAAAAAGAGTGTAATGTAATTACAACCTAAACAAAAGTTGTAGTAATTATTGGTTTGGTATTTTTACCATTTTGGTGGTGAGGCATATTTTCCTGTCGGCAATGCTGACTTCTCACCAAATCTCTCTCAGATTATATGAATGTGTACACGTATTTGTATTTGTTTTTCTTTTTGCGTTAAAATGTTTTAAAGGCAAAGCTAAGAGGAGTAAAGAACAAGGAGAAATACTTTAGATGATTAGCAAGAGGACTACAAATATTTTATATAAAACAATCAATATACAAACTTAAATGTTGACTTAGGGAAACTAAAGTTTTTTTCTCTACACCAAAATTAAGTTAAATTATACTAGACAATACAATCATTTTACATACATTTTTCAGCTTTTCGTAAACTACACTCTTAATGCATATAAATCATTTCCAAGATAAAACAAACTCTATAGTGCACATTTTTATAGTGCACAACCTTCTTAGAATATGGTATTACCTAGGTATGTTTTTAACGATGCTTTGCGTAAAACATTGTGGGCAGTTGATTGCGCTACTGATGAGCCTGCATGTCTCAAGATCAGTGGCTCCACTGAGTGGTGGCAGCTTGATGTTTAGGTAATTTACTGCCATTGATACTCCAGTCTAATTGGGACAGGTGTTACTGCAATGTTCAAGATACACGGTTGTCGGAGACGCAGCTAATAATGTCTCTCCACCCGGTGAAAAAAGAACTAGGTCGTTGCACTGACAACATTCTGAATTATTTCCTCGTGTGTCTGGCAGTGCGGTCAAATTTTCTCTTCTTTGACCAGAATCTTGGCGGTATATCTCAGTAGTTTATGACGCAATAGTTCCTCATGAGTGACGTTATCTGTAAATTGTTTTAAGTATAGTTATAAAATGATTGTATAACATGTACATACTCTGAAGGTAAATATTATTTTACGAAAAACAGTGAAAAACATCATTTTGATGACACAACGTACGAATGATTACAACCCCATCTCCGACGATAAAACATCATTTTGATTTTCAATTATTAAAGCAAACAATCTTTAGAGAAAAATCAGTATATTATATTGTCTATATATGTATTACAATAAAAATAATGGTTGTATGAAAAACACCTATGCTAAAACACTATCCCAATGATTGCTTCTATTTTGCACTATCTCGCGATAAAAATTTAAACTTGCTTCGAGAACTAACTGTCTAACAACTATACGAATTATAGTTGAAATAAATATATAATGTGCTATCTTTATTCCTTTATAAATTCAAAAGAGGTGCCTACATATATACCTGCAGTTGGATTATTCATTTTCACGGAAGATTGTTATTATTATTTTGTTTGTGTGTGATATTTTGTAACATGCATGGATATTAATATTGTCATTTTTATTTATATACAAATATTTATTTAAATAACTGGTTAGGTTTCACTCTTTCGCACTATATCGTTAATTGTCAATACAACCATGCTATCTGTATCTTTATCATTACGATTGTGTTAATTATGATTACACTTTTGAATTGGCTGGTTTAGGACACATTATTAGCTACCATAGTTGATTACGTTTTTTGTCACAGTAGATGAGAAAATATATATACGACAAAGTCAAACAAACAAATACATATAATCCATCACTTTAATTCCTTAGTTATCAAAATTTGTCCCTACAAAAAAATGTCCCCTATAAAATTATTAGATTAATCATCAGGTATATATGACAGTGGTCTTGTGTACTGCTACATGGCTGTCATTAGGTCTACCCAACCCAAACGTGTTCGTTACTTTTAGCGTATATATTAGTCGGAAAGAGATCTAGTTCTATCTGTATGTGCTTGGTCAGAACTCACTGGAACAAAGAGAGCAGACTAGTGATTATTTTTTGTGGTTTTTAAAATATATTATACAGAAAGAAAGGTTATTAAAATATATTATTTGGAAAGAGTGGTTATTATACCTCATGATACAAAATGAAAGATGAATATGTATTAAAGTATAAGAGAAGTATAATGATAAGAAAAGGTATGTCTCAATCATGCATTTGAGAGATTAATATGAGTAGCCCTAGATAAGCACGATTGAGCAAGTGAAGAAACAATTTGTTCTAAGTAACTTTTACTATTTGAAAAATGATGAGCCAATACTATATAGGTCAATACATATTGGGTCTAAATGGTAACATAGGGAACAAAGGGGAATAACCAATTCCTACTTATTCCTCAAAAAATACACCATTCATAAGGAATATTTACTGCGTATGATTCCTTGTCATTCCTTGAATTCTAAGGAATTATAGAACAAAAACATTCCTTATCAAAATTGATATGGAACCAAAGTAATAAATATTCTTTTTTTATTCCTTTTATTTTGTTCCTACTTATTATTTTTCTACTCATTCATATTCCTATTTTAATGGTCACCAGTTAGAGCCATTGTTTTCTTTAATCATTAATTATTTAAGCAGCCACATATATAAGTTTTGACTCGTTAAATGACTTGCTCGTTTATCTCATTAGCAATTAAAATAACACAATTACAAAAAGAAAATCAAAGTATATGTTAGGACATTTCAGCCTATATGATATATATACATACCAAAACGATGGATTTGGATTTGAAGAATGTAAAGAACATGTATACGTCACAAAAATGTTGTCAAAGAATCAGACGATTTTGTGACAGGGTTCGACTTCATTAAACGAATAATCAAAAGCTGCAACGGTACTTTTATAATCGGGAAAATAGCATAAAAAACCTTCAAAGTGACACTCACTAGCACTTTAAACCTTGAACTTATTTAACTAGCATATTAAACATTCAACTTGACATTTGTATCACAAAAAACCTTCAACTTGGCTTACTTGTTCGTCAAGTTAAAATTGTGACTTGTTAACCTACAATAATAGGTCACATGTTTTTTTTTTTTGTTTTTTAAATTAATAATTGCAATTAACAATAAAAAACCTAAATAAATTTTGAAAATTACAGAAAAAAATTCTAAAATTGAATTTAATAAAAAATCATATTAAACTTCAAAGTTTTTAAATTGTAAATTTTGCAAATTCAAAACTGTTTTTAAAAAAAAAATCATCTAAAAACTATTAAATATTCTCACAAAAAAAATTAAATAATTTTGAACATTATCACCATTAACTTGAACACTCTTTGTCATATCATTATTAAGAATAACATATTTGGTTATATCGCTAATGACAATAGTGTCAAAATCATTGTTATTTTTATATAAGAAATTATCATCGTTAAAGATATCAACAAAATTAAACGTTTAAAACTTACAAAACATTATTATTAATTCTGATATGAGGAAAAGTGCTTCTTTTACTAGTGGTATATCCACACTGTTTATTTTTGAATAACATTTTAAAGCATTTGCCTTATAAGCTTTTTGAATGTTTAGTTAATAATAATAACATACAAATAAATATGAGTTAGAGGTTATCTTTGATATTGAAAAAGTTGTATTAAAAGTTAAAATGTTCATATCGAAATCATCATATAGTTGTCGTTTTTTATTAACAAAATAAAAAAACATCTATCAAGGTATTAAATTATTAGTAAGATACATTAAAATAATTAGGGGGAGAATAAAATTGCTTTAGTTGCTATTAATATGACCATTAATAATAAGGTCGTATGGTTAGAGAAAATAAAGGGGAAGACCAAAATATTAAAAAAAAGGTCTAAACAATTTTCATAGATAGATTTTTTAAGACTCATTCCCTTTTAATAGTATTGATATAGTTTATAAAAATATACACTCATATATCAAAAAATTTCATTTAGAATAAAAATAAAACACTTGTAAATTCTTAAGAAAATATTTTGAATTTTTTTTAAATTAAGATTTTTGAATTTTTCTGTACTTTAAAACAAACATTTTTGAAAAATTGCACGTTAAAAAAAAATTTAAGAAGAGATTTTGGTTTTTATTAAATTCAGTTTTAGATTTTTTCTGTTATTTTCTAATTTTATTAATTTTTTATTGTTAATCGTATTTATTAATTAAATAAAATTAAAAAATAACATGTGACCTACTATTGTAGGTTAACAAGTCATAATTTTAACTTGACGAACAAGTAAGCCAAGTTGAAGGTTTTTTGTGATACAAATGTCAAGTTGAATGTTCAATATGTTAGTTAAATAAGTTCAAGGTTTAAAGTGCTAGTGAGTGCCACTTCTAAGGTTTTTTTATGATATTTTCCCCTTTATAATCTCCAACTTGTTTCATTAAAACTTTAATGGGCTTACTTCAAACAAACACAAAGGCCCGTTTGGCCAATCCATACGTCACATTATCGGCCTCACAAAGCTATGGTGGACAAGTGGCGAAGAAACAATCTCGTAACTCGTGGGGTAGATCAAGGAGCTTAAGCAATTAAAATCCGACACGTGTTAATAAGCTAGACCATCCACGTAGATCAATTCATACCACAAAACTCAACCAGTGTATTAACTTCCCTCCATTTTTCGAAGAGCCACTATCTCCTGCGCAAGTTATCCTCCTCCTCTGCAACACCTTCCCACAAACAGCGCACGTTAGCCAAATCCTCAAAATCCTCAATCGTCGTATGTCGTCGGCAATGTCTCTTCAACCGGGTCGGATCCGGGTCCTCAAGGCAGGCTCTCGTCGACCGTCGGACCAATCTCCGGGTCCCGTAGTTTACTGGATGTTCAGAGATCAACGGCTGAGAGATAACTGGGCTCTGATCCACGCCGTCGATCTGGCGAACAGAACCAACGCCCCGGTGGCCGTCGTGTTCAATCTATTCGATCAATTTCTCGGCGCAAAGGCGAGGCAATTAGGGTTTATGTTAAAAGGTCTCCGCAAGCTCCACCGTCAAATCGAATCTCTTCAAATTCCGTTTTTTCTGTTACAGGTGAAATCATATCTCAATTTGACACGTCACCCATTTAAAAAGATTCTTACTTTAGGGTTTCTACATTGGTTTTGTCTCAAGTTAGGGTTTGATTGTTATTAAAGGGGAAAAGATGAACTTTTTTTTTTTTTTTTTTTGGTGTGATATATATTTAAGGGAGATGCAATGGAGACGATTCCTGAATTTATGAGAGAGTGTGGAGGTTCGCATTTGGTTACTGACTTCTCGCCTTTACGGGAGATAAGAAGGTGTAGAGATGAGGTTGTGAAGAGGACTAGTGATTCATTAGCAGTGCATGAAGTTGATGCTCATAATGTGGTTCCAATGTGGGTTGCTTCGGAGAAGTTGGAGTATAGTGCTAGAACATTACGGGGTAAGATCAACAAGCTGTTGCCTGAGTACCTTATTGAGTTTCCTAAGATTGAACCGCCAAGGAAGAAGTGGGTAGGGATGGTTGATAAGGTGGTTGATTGGGATAGTCTCATCGATAAAGTTGTAAGGTTAGTTGCTGCTTAATAGAGTTTTATCAGTTGCTAAGTTACTTCTTTTGGCATTCAAATTTCATGATGTGTGGACAGGGAGGGTGCAGAAGTTCCTGAAGTTGAATGGTGTGTGCCTGGAGAAGATGCTGGCATGGAAGTATTGATGGGGAGCAAAGATGGGTTTTTGACGAAAAGGTTGAGGAACTATTCAACTGATAGGAATAATCCTGTGAAGCCGAAAGCACTCTCTGGTCTCTCTCCTTATCTACATTTTGGACAGATATCTGCTCAACGGTGTGCCTTAGAGGCACGAAAAGTGCGGAGTACTTACCCTCAGGTTGATAACCCTATCAACACTTTTGAATGTAGTTTTCTCTTTCTTTTACCCCTTGTTCTCACTTACTTTATTTGTTCCTAAAAGGCAGTTGATACGTTCTTGGAAGAATTGATCGTGCGAAGAGAACTCTCGGACAACTTTTGCTACTATCAACCTCACTATGATTCGTTGGAGGGAGCTTGGGAGTGGGCACGCAAGTCGTTGATGGATCATGCTTCTGATAAGAGAGAACACACTTACTCGTAAATGTTTTAGCCGTTTTAGTCCCTTATTTGGAAATAAATCTATAGTTTTATTTACGCTATAAAGGGTATTGAAACTGTAGGTTGGAGCAGTTAGAGAAGGGACTCACAGCAGATCTTGTAAGTCACTAATCATCATCACTCGAATTCTAGTCTGTAGATTTGTTTCTTCACTGCATTTTAAGCTTTTGTTGTTGTTGAGCAGCTATGGAATGCTTCACAGTTAGAGATGGTTTATCAGGGGAAAATGCACGGTTTCATGAGGCAAGTAAAGTCATATATATTCATTTAGCTGTGCTTTTGAAACCAATGATAGTGAAAATGACATTTTATCAACGCTACTTGCAGAATGTATTGGGCAAAGAAGATTCTAGAATGGACCAAAGGACCTGAAGAGGCTCTCTCAATATCCATCTATCTAAACAACAAGGTTGACTTATGACCATTATTTAACTGTATCTTCCATTGATTTTTTCATTCTTGTTTCTTAGTTTTTTTTTGTTGGTATGTTGATGTAGTATGAGATAGATGGTCGTGACCCGAGTGGATATGTTGGGTGTATGTGGTCCATATGCGGCGTTCACGATCAGGTTCTTTTGCTTTCTCCTACTCTTACTTGATTGGAGAATATATATATTTTCGAGTCATTGAATATGATTTTGTGTGTGTTTGATGGGGGCTTTAGGGATGGAAAGAGAGGCCGGTGTTTGGGAAGATAAGGTACATGAACTACGCGGGTTGCAAACGGAAGTTCAATGTGGACAGTTACATCTCCTACGTCAAGAGTTTGGTGTCAGTAACAAAGAAGAAGAGGAAAGCTGAAGAACAGCTCACCAGAGACTCTATTGACCACCCCAAAGCTAAATAGTACTACTACTTAAGTGTTAAGTCTAAGCTCCTTTCTGATTGTTGTTATACAATCATGCTCTGTGTTTGGCTTTTTTTTAAAAAAAATTTATTCAAGTAACGGATTGTTGAATTGACCAAAAGAAAAGACAATAGCCAAAGATCTAAAACTCAGTTGGTTTACAAAACTATATGGGTGTGCAAACTATGACACATTTTGAACTTCTGTAGTATGCAAACTTTATGAGACATGAATCATCCATCAAATTTTAAACCTTTGATTTTCATTTCATCATGTTCTTCAAATCAAAACCAAACTACCCCAACTATGTTGTGTTCTCATAACCTGTTCCTACACAGAAATGAAATACAAATATGCTCAAAACTAGAAGCTTGTTTAGTGTCTATTTGGTCTCAAAGTGTCGTTGTTGCTTAGTTCTACAATCACTTTGCAGGAAACCAAAAATATATACATTCACAAAATCGATTCTTATGCAAATTTACTGTAACGTCATTACCAGTTTTAAACAAAACTCATCTCTAAATTTTAATTACATGCTCACAAACCCAAACCAAACCAATTTTATAACTCATTGATCAATGTAATTAACCTCCTAATGGGCTACAAATGCTAATCAAAACTCTTCTCGTTTTTATTACATTCCTTTACCACACCGTTTTCGACTATTTCTTCTTCAACGGTGCTGTAATGCTTGCAAACCACCTTGCACTTAACCACACTACCATGCACATAAAATCCAGGTTGAACCATAGCTCGAACCAGATCCTTAAACCTCTCCCCGCCAGTTTCCTCCATGTAAACCGGATCAAACCGGTCATTTTTCTCCACACGAAAGATTTGGAAACCCGGGTTCATCGAGTTAGCTAATAGATGAACCAACCAAACACTCTTCGACGCACCAAAAAACGCCTACAAACCAAAAAAGAAAAACCAGTTCAATTGGTTTTCAATAAACCAAATAAATCAAAATAAACCGTTTTTCACCTGTAAAAGCGGTTCAGGCCAGGCTCTGTTCCAACAAAGCATCGAAACGACGTCGCTCATTTTCCTGTCACAGAACATGCTAAACTCCTCTGAGAAATGCTTCGTTCCTCTGCTCAAAACCTCCTCCCACGTCAGCTCCTTCAAGACTTCGAACAAAGCGTAATTGGACTCGCAACGATCAACCGGGTTCAGAATCCGGGTCGACCCGTTTTTCTGAAACCCGGAAGCTTCGAAGTCCTCGAAGAAGGCTCTGCTCAGAATCGCTTCGAGGTAAAGGATCAAGCTCTTCGGGTTTTTCGCGAAAGAGTTGACCTTTACGTCGAAATGTTGGAGTAGGAGAGAGAGCCGCTCGTATACTTTCCCGCCGACGGTTCGTAGCTGCGAGGCCAAAGCTCTGCTTAAAGCCCTTATCGAAGTTCGAGATTCCGACACTGAGACTAGGAACTGCCGGATGATCTTGTCGTTGAATCCGTCTTTTTGAAACAGAACACTCTGTTTTTCCTTGTCGTTAAACAGAACACTCTGTTTTTCCTTGTCGTTAAACAGAGCACTCTGTTTTTCCTTGTCGTTAAACAGAGCACTCTGTTTTTCCATGTTGTTAAACAGAGCACTCTGTTTCTTATTTTTGCTACTACACTCGTCGAGACCTGACTTGAGGTTGTGGCAGTAAACCTCGAGCTTGTTGAGCTTCTTCTCGAGCTCTGTCATGGAAGTTTTCAACTTTGAAGCTTCTGTGACAGCGTCTTCTTTCTTCTTCGTGGTTTGTATTAGTTTATGAGAAAGCTCCGCCACGGCTAACCGCCACTGCTCTTCTCTGGAAGCCTCGGCGGCGGCGGCGGCGGAGGAGGAGGAGGAAGAGCGCGGTGGAAGAGATGACGCTGCGGAAGAGAGTTTGGGGCTTTTACGTGTGAGGGATTGAAAGATTGATTTGATTATGAGGTTGGGGCTTGAGATGAAGGAATGGTTGTTGTGGGTTTCGAGAGGCACGACGGAGAATTTTTCGCGGTGAGAATGGTGAGGACGACAGTTGTTGCATGAGACGGAGCCTCTGTCTTCGTCGTCGTTGTCGTCATGTCGTTTTTTGTTTTTGGGTTTTCCTTTGTGGTGGAGAGGCGTTGGAGTGTGTTGGTGGTGGTGGTTTGGAGTGGTGGAAGAACCACCATTGCTGCTTGGTGTTGCTCTGTTTTTGTATCGTTCTTCGTGGAGATCCTCTTCTTCGCATTCCGGAATCTGCGAGAGCATAGTAAGATATGATTTTTCGTTTTATTTAATCAGTGAGAATTATTACCAAAATGAGAAACAGAATTTCTTGATTTTAAGAATTTGCAAGTAACAAAATATGAGTGTTTTTTGGTCAGAGCAAAGACAAAACAAAACTAGTTTGAGGTATGTGTTTCCTCGTCTGTGTTGACTAATTTCTTGATTTTTACCAGCAAACAACACAAGAGGGGGATTGAGTTCTGACTTACAGGAGTGAAGTGGAGGGCTTTGTGAAGAGATAGAACAGGAGATTTGGAAGGAGAAGATGAAGAAGAAGGAGCCATTTCTTTTTCTCCTTTTGGTCTCTCTCTTGTTTGCTTTTAGTATCCCATTTTTATATGTAGACACTATCTCATGATAATATAAATTGTTATTAAGTCATTTTGCTAAGAAAAAAAAAAAGAGAAGTGCTAGAATCATAGTAGAATGATGATCTTGTTTCTTTTTGGTTTTGTGCCGGTAAGCTTGGTTGAATTTTAAATTTGTTTCCATCTTTAGTTCAAGCTAAATCCAAGATGAAGACTATGTAGACATGTTGTATTCTCTTGTTCTAATATATTATGTCTTTGTATACACGTTTCAATTCAATATTAGAGTGACAATCAAAAATTATTCCATGTTATTCAAAACTAGTTTCACACATCGATCATTCAAAATAGTTCAAGACTATAAAGCTTATATGTTTCATTGGCGTTTGTTCTTTTCATTCGTTTTTCTACTAGTTAATCTTGTTTAGTTAGCTCTGCATGTTTTCATAAGAGCAAGTGCAATGGGGGTATTTAACAGATCCTTAGCAGCAAAACCTAGGTAAATCAGATTAAAAGAAAATCAATAATAAACCATTTACTAAGGAGCAATCCTTAATTAGGGACTAGAAGGATTGAATCCTTATCTACCTGGCACTTTCTCTCTCTCTCTCTCTTCTCCGTGTCTGTTGCTGTTGACATCAACAACATCAACTCTGGCCGCGATCTCTGCGAATACTAATCTCCATCTCACGAATCTAGACGAAGCCACTTCCGTCAACGGAGACTCTGTTTTCGATAGCAGCCAATACTGAATTGAAGATCCTGTGAAGAAGTCCAAGCAACCCAATTGGATTCTGCTTTGTTGAATATGAACTACTGCTTTGTTGAATATGAACTACGGTGGTCCTGTCTCAATCTCTGCCTATGGAGACACTAATCTGATCCCTCACCCTGTTCAGCAAGCATTGTCTTCAACTGGTGTTGGTCTTCATCACGTCCCTGCAGGTACCAAAGTTCTTTTTTTTTTTAATTTGTCCATCTTTCTTGAAAAGTGGGATCTTTGGTGCTTACCTGATGATGATCCAAGAATCAAGATCAATACTTTTACAGCGATCTTTGCTATACAAATGTAAAAATTTACTTAGGTTTCATCACATTTACTGTGGAGTTGCTCTACATTTTCTTTATCTGTGATAAGTTATGTTAGCTTCATTCACAGTTTTTGTTTATATATTAGTCTAAGGTGTGTTAAGTGTGATCACATCGGTTGATTTTTTTAGTGTCTGAACATGAAGGATTTAAGTTTTTCGTGCTGTTTTGGGTGGTTTTAACAGGAGTTAAAGATGCGAGTGATAAGAAGATACTAGTAGATATGTTATTGTGGGCTGTAGACAACCCTGCACCAGCCAACTTCATGCTCATCTCCGTTGATAGAGACTTCTCCAATGCTCTTCACCAGCTGAGCATGAGGAGGTACACTATTCTCCTAGCTCAGCCTCCACGTGCCTCTGCTCCACTTGTTGCTGCTGCTAAAAATGTATGGCCTAGCATCTGGTGGTCCTCTTACTAGTAGTGAATCCTCTAGATTTGTTAACAATGGACATGGTCTTGCTTCTAATAATGAACCGTTGAAAGATCCAGTTTCTGATCAAGCTCAGTCCAGCAAACCAACTGTCTCAAACTTTGTTCTGGAGATAATTCTGCAGATCCTTCATTATTGGCTGAGGTAATGTGCTACAATCACACGCTGCTTATTTATAAAAGTTCTTTGTCTTCTTATAAATTAACTTCTTGTGTACTGTGTAGGTGTATGTGGATATTTTTGCTTCAATACTCCTAATCACAGGAGGAGGACTATGCTTCTATGGTGAGTGATTGCTTCATTTCTTTTTTTTGTTCGAGAGTTGTTGAACGTTTTTATTGCTGTGATTTTACCTATCTTGCCATAATGATCTAGTAAGCAGAAGTTTACAAACAAAGAGGTGTGGTTAACTAAGGATTCCATAATAGAAACACCATTGGAGATATATTTTCTATTAGGGTCCTTAACTATTCCCTAAAAAATAAAAAATATTAATTTAATCCTAAGGACTCCAATGGTGAGTAACACCATTGGAGGTGCTCTAAGCACTTATTCTAGTGTTACTTTCATGTTTCTTTTTTTTTTCTTTTTATGCCAAGACTTTTCAAGTTTCTAAGTCAAGATTATATAGACTTACGTGTGTATTTTATGTCTATATAAAATGTAATGATTACTGGTTTCCTTAGATATGTAAAGGGGATGTTTGAATTTCTCTCTTTTCATTTTCAGTGACGAGATTCTCGTCAGCTTGTGATCATATCTTCTGAAACAATCAGAGAGTTTTGCTAAAAGCTACTTGCGCAAATAACAGAAGAACAAATACATTTTGATAAAAAAAAATAAAAAGAACAAATGCATTTTGTCTTTAAGGGAAAAAAAAAATCTGTTGCGCGAATAAATAAATTCAGTTGAAGAAATAATAACTAAATACAAGGTGACAAGGGTTTAGTGGTAAACGCACAGCTCAAAATAAGATCTGTTCTGTATAATGATTTTGCGCAGGGAACTTTGATTTATTTTAGTGTCTTGCTTAACATTTACTGTACGTGTAATCATACAAGATACAAATCTATACAGACATACACGTAGGTGCGTATTTACGGGTATAACGACAGTCACCGTCAGAGAAAGAAAAAAAGAGAGTGATACACATATTTTTTTTTCTTTTTCAATCTTTTCATTTTTAATATAAAGTGTACAAAATTTTGCTCTATTCAATAAATGCAGTTTGCGTTACATATGCATTTAATGTTTGTATTCTATTTCTTCTTCCATTAAAATCCACAAGTATATTTAGCCCATAGTGGTAAGTGGTAACTACAACCAATTAGTTTGAATCGTATCTCTAGCCTCGAAATATTTGGAAGACTGTTTTTTCATAAATAAAAATTTAATGAGCTTCAATAATTCAGTAGCTTCATGAATGTGAAAGAAGGCATAGACATTTAGATTGGTTTAAATGAGATATGAAAGTCAGTATTTATTGTCTGTTTGCTTTAGCAATAAATATTAGAGTAGGGGGAATTGTCACATTAAATACTTGGTGAGAAGAGAGCATCAAATGCAAATCCAGCTACCTCATTTATGAGATTGGTAGACACACATTAGCAAACTAAATCATCTATCATCTATTTGGCCTATGACTTGTTAGATTGGTGTGACTTAATTACTCATTGGTCTCCAGCTCTCAACTTTAATTTGCGTTGATTACCAAAAAAAAAAAACTTTAATTCGCAATATATATTTCATGTGATTATATGGTTTTGAAATTACTAATAACTAAGCATGAGAACTGAGATGGCAAGGGAAAACTAAACATGAGAGAGTACGATCGTCCAAAAACTAATAAATTTAGAAGGGTTTCTGGTTTTGGTCTCAGCTGACTTTTGCATGACATGTCCATATTCACCGGTTGGATCATGTGCACGTGACGCCATTTTTAATTTATTTATCTTTACAATTGAGACAAATATCACTGGTCGTAGTTACAGGTCAGAGGGCTCAGGTTCCGGACTGCCCAACACACCGCAGAGAACTTTTGATTAAGACAAAAGGCAATCGTCATCTGTTCTTTCTCCTATATTGTACTTCCCCCAACGTACATTTTCAGTCATACAACCTTTTCTTCTTCACATTTGAATTTTTTTGGGATTATTTATCAAATAGCTAGAAAAAAAAATTAGATTTTAAGAGAGAGTAGAGAGAGATAGGAAGAAAGAAGAGTAAAGATAATGTGATTTTAGTTATTTAGTGTATTTATATTTTTTTTTATGGTTATAGGAGCAAATGTTCCTTTTTTAAAATGACTTTTTAAGTATGATTAAGGAAATACTTTTTTCTTTTAATTCTGAATTTTATTATTAAACCCTTTAGGCAAAAAACTCTTAACAATGAAAAATAACAAAACAAACATAGAAAACAGATATACCAGTACAGATCCAAAGTAAACGAACACATCTTTACGTATGGATAACTAAAAATTTTCAAGTAAAAGTTACAAATTTACTTCTAGAAAGCCTCTTTCGATTTTAACTAGTTGAGTTTTTAGATTACATCATACGAGGCTCTAATGTTTGACTAATTGGGCTTGGGGTTATAAACAGATAACCGGAACTTACATAAACAAGATGGGCCAGAGTTTAATGGGCCTCAGATCTAGAAATGCTCATTTAAAAACCTCCAAAACGCCACCACACACACACACACTCCAATCCCAATCTCACTGTCCCAAAAAAAAAAAAAAAAGAATCAAAGAAATCACGACCCGGAATCAAACCCGAAAACCCGGAATCACAACACGAGAGCCATGGGCAAGGACGGTCTAAGCGACGACCAGGTCTCCTCAATGAAGGAAGCCTTCACGCTCTTCGACACAGACGGCGACGGCAAAATCGCCCCCTCAGAGCTCGGGATCCTGATGCGATCCCTCGGCGGGAACCCGACGCAAGCGCAGTTGAAATCCATAACGGCCTCGGAGAGCCTCTCGTCCCCGTTCGATTTCGAGAGGTTCCTCGACCTGATGGCGAGGCATCTGAAGACGGAGCCGTTCGATCGGCAGCTGAGGGACGCGTTCAAGGTGCTTGACAAGGAAGGGAGTGGGTTCGTTGGGGTGGCGGATCTGAGGCATATTTTGACGAGTATTGGGGAGAAGTTGGAGGGGAGTGAGTTTGATGAGTGGATTAAGGAGGTGGAGGTTGGATCTGATGGGAAGATTAAGTATGAGGATTTTATTGCAAGGATGGTTGCTAAGTGAGATCTCTTTTTTTTTTGCTTTTGAAATGTATTAATTTTATTGTTGTTTTTTGTTTGTTTGTTATGGAGATGTTTTGTGTGGTGGTGATTCGGTTGAAGTTTTTTAATCGTTATGCGTTTGTTGTTAATTTAATTGAGTCCAAATGGTGCTCTTTTTTTAATAACGAACTGTGTTCGTCGACTTGGTTTCATGTTCTGCATCATACGTAAGAGTATTATCCCGTTCAAGTCTACTTGTTTCACACAGGATTGTCGTGTTGGTAGATCTTATACGTTTTGGTATCCTTCACAGGGTGTGGAAGCTAATGATGTAGTGTTGGATTATCCTACCTTGTGCAATGAATCACATTAGAAGTTCTGGATCAGGGCAATTTTGAAACAGCTTATGCTCTGAGATTGTAGTATCTTGTTATGTTAGTTTTTGGCTTGGCGCCCTGGGTTCTTGCTTGATTCTTGTAGTGGTAGGTCTGTTATATAGATGGTAAGGCAACACATTACCTTTAAATCCGATGCAATCACGTTAGTTTCAAAATTTGATTTGATAGATACATACTCTTTGAGTTCCAAAAAGAAAAAGAAAAAAGATACATACTCTGCATGACTGCATGTTCTGATATACACAGTCTAGTATCTGGTGTTTGTTCCAAGGAATCACGAGTTGCGAATTATTTCAAATTACCGCAAAAGCAGTTTATGTGATTGTTTGATAACACAAACAAACAAAAAATAACTTCCATTTATAGAGACATCAATTATGCCCAGACCTCGACTTAACATGCAAAAATTAGGAACCCGGTGAAATGAGACAATGATGAGATACTGGTTTTGGAGTCTTACCGAAACCTCTCAAGAACACAGTTTTTGATGCCACATAGTTTATGGACGGTTTCGTTATATATAGTACATGCTGTTCAAGGCCTCAAGGGAATCTACCCAAAGACAAAACACACAAAAACCTCTAATCAAGAGATAACAATAGAAAGATTCTTGATGATGAGATTATGAATGAATATAACTCTCTTGATATGGTCACTCATGTTGATCTTTCATCGAGGGTTAAGCTAGGGAGGCTAGGATATGGAAGATAAGCTCGGACAATACATAGATGATGAATTAAACCTCGTAACACAGGTACTCCTGGTGTAATAACAGTTGTCTACTTAGTTAGTTAGCTTCGCGTTCTAGGCTTCGTAACGGATCAATTCACATTCTTTTGCATGATTGCATCGAATGTATGATGTGTTAGGTAGGGTTCAGTGAATAAAATATTTGAAAACTTTAATCATGGATTCGAGATTACGCGTCTGTAGGTATGGGTGAAGTGGCAAAATCACACCTCTCACGCAGATCAACAATAAAATGTTGTGAGACAGATGCTAGATTTATAAGGTTGTGGATGGTCTGTAAGATCGAAGTAGGATTTTGCCTACTCCTCCCATACCATACAATTCCTTTAGTCCTGAATCCATATCTGATGGGTAATTACTGTAGTCCAAAGCTGAGAAAGCTCTCTGCACTTTGTTTGTTACCTTCACTCAGTTAATGAGCGAGGACTGAGAGCCACAAATGTTACAAGGACTGCTAACCAAACGAAAGTATGCATCTGCTAATCTCATTTGCATTCTATGTATTGTGACCCTATCTCTATTCTAAACCAGGTTTTGTAAACAGGTTCTATAGGATGAAATACGCCGGTTTTGGGGGTTGTGGACTCTGGATTCTCTAATCTTTCCATAAGAAAAAAGGTTCTTTAACGTTTTGATCATGAAAAAATTTCAACATGCATAAAAGTCAAACAATCATATCTATTATTTACGTACCAACTTTCTCTATTATTTAGCAGAATTAAAAAAAACCATAGAACCATTTTAATAACGCGTACAGCTAGCATGCTTAGCATCATCGTTTATTAAATATAGCGACGACCTGGACTTAAAAAAATGAACTCATTCACAAACTCTTAAAATCTTAACATCCTTGTTTCATATTTTGCAAATCGCAGATATTTGCAGTGTGGAGATGCCTTTACATTAGAGAGCCACCCAGATATTCTTGACCTCGCTCGTCAAGTTGCTGAAAAATGTCATGGTTTACCGTTGGTGCTGAACATCATCGGTGAAAATATGGCGTCCAAGAGGACGGTGGAAGAATGGGAACAAGCCGTCGACACGCTCGCTTCTTCTGCTGCAGAGTTTCCTGGTATGGAGGACCATATTCTTCCAGTCTTGAAGTATAGCTACGATAGCCTCAAGGGTGAGCATGTCAAGTCTTGTTTTCTATACTGCGCTCTGTTTCCAGAAGATGTATCAATTGAAAAGGAGAAGTTGGTAGATTATTGGATATGCGAAGGATTCATAGACGAAACTCAAGGTTTAAAGAAGGCTAAAAGCGAGGGTTATGGAATAATTGATACCCTTATACATGCTTGTTTGCTGACTGAAGAAGAAGAATGTGAATTATACGTGAGAGTGCATGATGTGGTTAGAGAGATGGCATTGTGGATTGTATCTGATTTTGGGAAGGATAAAGAGAGATGTATCGTGAAAGCTGGTGCTTGACATGGCTTCTGTTGGCACCAAACCTTAAGGCTCTTGAAATTGATAGTTTAAATCAAGTAGAAGATATAATCAGCAAAGAAAAAGCTGTGAATATTCTGACAGAGGAGGAGGCAGGTACTATCATTCCTTTTTGGAAACTAGAGTTTTTCCAAGTGTGTGGTTTGCCAAAGCTGAAGAGTATCTACTGGATTCCTCTCCCTTTCCCACGTTTGAGGGAATTTAGCATATATAACTGTCCAAATCTGAGAAAGCTTCCATTGGATTCCAGAAGTGGCGGCAGCATAGATCTTGCCGTACATAATGGAGAACAATACTATAGAGATGAGGTTGAGTGGGAGGACGAAGCTACTAAAGAGCGTTTCCTACGTTGCATCAATCCTAATTCCCTCTATAGAGCCACAACAAGTTTCCAAAATTAAGCTGCCTCAACTCTCATATTGGTCTGCTACTCTGTTCTAATCAATTTATTTTCCCTATGTTCATATCTATTCTAATATTATATGTTTATTGGTTGTTTGGTGTGAATTTCATTACTCTCAAGAAACTTTACATAAAAATTATCCTGTATTTACTTATATATATATATTTGTGTGTTATGTATTATACCTTAATAAGCCTGTAGATGAATAATATAAAGAAAGATGTATTGTGCAAACTGGTTTTGCGTGAGTGATAAATAATATAAAGTCAAGATTTTGGGTATATATGGCATGGGTGGAGTAGGCAAAACCACCCTTCTCACACAAATCAACAACCAAGTTTTCTGAAACATGTGGCGGCTTCTTTGAGGTTGTGATGTCTTCAGAGATCCATAGGATTCAAGGAGACATTGCCAAAAAGCTAGGCCTTGTGGGACCAAAAGAATGAAAACCACAGAGCCCTTGGTATACAAAATGTCCTCAGGAGGCGAGAGTAGAGAAGAGTAGTAAGCCAAGGCTATGAGGTCATTGGTATACTTGTCCGTGAATGATTGTTGTTGGAGGAAGCTGTGAGTGTTTATATCATTCCTTTCAACTATTACACTGATTTCAATGACAAGGAGAAGTTAGCCATTACTATTTAATGGACAAGCTCTTCAAGATGGACAAGCTTTTCACATGATTTCAGAATCAAATGAGAAAGAAATCAAACAGTCTTAGTACATTTTACCAAAGTAAATGCTATAATTGATGTATGTCCTTTGCAGATTGCTAATTAAGTTCGATTTTGTTCCCCAGTACATACAGATCCAGCTCACTTCCATGAACCTGTTCTCGGTTCTGTTGCATGCTCTGCCTGCAGAAGTTGTCCTTGCTTCAATAAAGAAAGTAAGTTTCAATGTGAGGTTGCAGAGAGGTGTTTTTTTTTGTGTTTCTCCACTGTGATTTCTGTTATATCACAAGTGGTTTTGACGAAGAGGCATGTTCTGTAATATCTTCTGGTCTTTTTTATAAAAATCTTGAAACCTCTATGGTTTAGGACATTTACATATATATTGAATCCAGAATATAAAAATTCAATTATTACACGTTTTTCAGACTTCTTTATAACACTCTTTGATCAAAATATGTGAATATAAATGTAATGTTCTTTCTCAGTGCAGGTGAAAGACTTTTTTGTGGTGCTCAAGTATCCCATCAGCCAAAGCAAAGTTGGATAGTTTCTTCTCACATACATATTCTTTTGAATATTCCCTTAATCACCCATGCGAGTGTGATTATTCAACTTCACCATCTTACTAATTAAGTCTTACTTTCTTTTCATCACTTACTTAAAACAAAATTTATGTCGGTGAATACTGTATATAGACACAATATGCACAGATCTAGAAACTTAATACTTTTTTGCCTTTTTATGAGTTTCTTTTAATTTGTATTCTTTTCTTTATCTTATGATTACTACTGAAATTCGCATTATTGTTCCGAAGAAGACATATAAACCAACATGTCATCATAACTCCCAATTACATCTACATCTCACATTTTTAGTATATGCAATGTAAAATATAAATAAAATGTAATTATTCACACGCCTTGAATTGCCCAACTGTGAAATCATGAGGGTCGGTGTGCATATTTGTTTTTTGCAGAAAAGTTGACTTTTANTTAGTATATGCAATGTAAAATATAAATAAAATGTAATTATTCACACGCCTTGAATTGCCCAACTGTGAAATCATGAGGGTCGGTGTGCATATTTGTTTTTTGCAGAAAAGTTGACTTTTACAGTCATACACTAACATACATACTGATACAGTCAACTCATATATATGTATTTTATGGTTGCTGATGATTATTCCAGAATGTTTTCATGAAATCTGATAATATCCGTTCCGAATTTTCGGAATTTCATATATCTACTCCTCGTTAGGTTTACTTTTAGTTATCTCTTAAAATGAGCAGTGAAATTACAATCCAAACTAATAACTGCCACTACTAGTTGAGTTTGTTGAGTTAGTATTCGTACGTCGAACTGCAAATCATCAATTATTTTTGTACTTAAGATTCATGGCATGAAATAATTGATCGTTTGGTACATGATATTATTTCATAGTGATTAAAGTCAGGCATATACTTAGATTAGAGTTAGGTAGAATTATTTATGATTACTAGTATACTAATTATTAAAAGTTTCTTTTACTAATCACATTTTTTATATAGTGGTGGACCTAAAAACTATTTACTGGGCCAGCATATATATACGTTGAATCTTAAAACTCTCTTGGTTAAATCACATTGTTTACTTGGTTAAATCACATTGTTTACAAGAAATATTTTACATATACAATAAAATAATTAATTAATACTAGTTCAAAAGGGTAGAAGCTTTTTCTATGTTACATGGAAACAGAAACGAATACGCGGGAGCAGAATCGTATGGAAACGTAGAAGCGAGATTTTAAAAAAAAAATAGGAAGCGTAAACGTGTTGGAAGCATATATTTATATATGTATATATACACACATATGAAAATATAAAAAAATTAAAAACATGACTAGAAATTATTAGAGTCAAATTTAAAATAAAACATTTATTCATTTATAATAATTTTAAATGATTTTATCTTAAAACCGTGAAAATATACATAAATCAAGTTTATAAGATATTATTATACTAATTTTTTTTTAATCTTTCATATATAATTAACACAATCTATTTAAGTATATATGATATATCTTTAATAAATCCTCAATGCATAAAGATAATTTATAATATTACTTTTAATATTTGTATATTTTTATTCTCTATTTCACTATTATATAAAAACAAAAATAATGTTTCTTATATTTTTATTTACTTATGACACTGAAGCTTTTAAAACGGAAGCGTGATTCCAAAATGGAAGCGCTAGCTTCCAATATGTTTTTAAAAATGTTTTTTTGGAATCGCAATAGAATCGAGATTCTGTGAGATTCCACAAGCTTCCATTTCCGATTCCGATTCCGAAGCAGGAAGAGGACGTATGACGAAACTTCCATGCAACCTAGGCTTTTTGTGACATTGTATGTCTTGCAGTTTACATCTATTTAGATCACCCCATATATCTCAGAAATTTGGATTACTAGTAACACATATTTAAAACAATTACTATTGATAACTACAAATGTCATAATTGAAATACTCGTTTAATACACCATGAAATTCTACGAATTGATCTCGTAATTATTCTAGGATTTTTCTTTTTTGGATTTAGATTTGGCATCTGGTTAGATGAATAACTAGACGACCGATTTGGCTTCTGGCTAGCGGCAACATAATTATTGGTAACTGTAACATTAAACCATAGAATGAGTAGGATACGGGTAGAATCTTTACATGTCACAAGTTTTTTCTCATGGAACAAGAAAAAAATAAGCCCGTAGATGAATAATATTAAGAAAGATGTATTGTGCAAACTGGTTTTGCGTTACTTGAAGTCAGGAACTGGAACAGTGTGAGGAGAATGCCGTTAATGTTATACTCTCAACATTTGTATTGATCTACCACTATTACACCTTTCATATTGTATGCGATGCTGAGGAGGTTCTTGTGTTGGGTTCTGAAAAGTGAAAATGATGGAGGTGCTAATTGTCCACAACGAACATATCAAAGTTTCTTCTTGTATGATGAGGGTGTCCATGAAGATGGTTGTAGCTTGGCATTTGCATTCAGGTCCTAATGGTCCCTACCTACCTATGTTTGAACTGTAAAGCAAGTTGACATTGCAAAATAGCTAGGCCTTGTGGGACCAAAAGAATGAAAACCAGAGAGCCCTTGGTATACAAAATGTCCTCAGGAGGCGAGAGTAGAGAAGAGTAGTAAGCCAAGGCTATGAGGTCATTGGTATACTTGTCCGTGAATGATTGTTGTTGGAGGAAGCTGTGAGTGTTTATATCATTCCTTTCTACTATTACACTGATTTCAATGACAATGAGAAGTTAGCCATTACTATTTAATGGACAAGCTTTTCACATGATTTCAGAATCAAATGAGAAAGAAATCAAACAGTCTTAGTACATTTTACCAAAGTAAATGCTATAATTGATGTATGTCCTTTGCAGATTGCTAATTAAGTTCGATTTTGTTCCCCAGTACATACAGATCCAGCTCACTTCCATGAACCTGTTATCGGTTCTGTTGCATGCTCTGCCTGCAGAAGTTGTCCTTGATTCAATAAAGAAAGTAAGTTACAATGTGAGGTTGCAGAGAGGTGTTATTTTTTTGTGTTTCTCCACTGTGATTTCTGTTATATCACAAGTGGTTTTGACGAAGAGGCATGTTCTGTAATATCTTCTGGTCTTTTTTATAAAAATCTTGAAACCTCTATGGTTTAAGACATTTACATATATATTGAATACAGAATATAAAAACTCAATTATTACACGTTTTAGAGACTTCTTTATAACACTCTCTGATCAAAATATGTGAATATAAATGTAATGTTCTTTCTCAGTGCAGGTGAAAGACTTTGTGGTGGTCAAGTATCCCATCAGCCAAAGCAAAGTTGGATAGTTTCTTCTCACATACATATTCTTTTGAATATTCCCTTAATCACCCATGCGAGTGTGATTATTCAACTTCACCATCTTACTAATTAAGTCTTACTTTCTTTTCATCACTTAAAACAAAATTTATGTCGGTGAATACTGTATATAGACACAATATGCACAGATCTAGAAACTTAATACTTTTTTGCCTTTTTATGAGTTTCTTTTAATTTGTATTCTTTTCTTTATCTTATGATTACTACTGTAATTCGCATTATTGTTCCGAAGAAGACATATAAACCAACATGTCATCATAACTCCCAATTACATCTACATCTCACATTTTTAGTATATGCAATGTAAAATATAAATAAAATGTAATTATTCACACGCCTTGAATTGCCCAACTGTGAAATCATGAGGGTCGGTGTGCATATTTGTTTTTTGCAGAAAAGTTGACTTTTANTTAGTATA